TATTGGTTGCAGATGGAAGATTTGCTTGGGAAACATTTCAAATCGTTGGGTAATTTATGGTAATTTGATAAAAATTAAATCCAAGCATTAAAATGTTAGGTGAATTTGTTTATTTAATTAATTAGTTCAACAAACAATTACTGTATACAAAGTTTATTGTTTAATTATGTGCTACCTACTGAACTGTTGATTTTAACAACCGCCTTATACAATGAAATATCCCTTTCATTTATTTAATACTTATCCATCAAACTTTTTTAAGACTTGAATTGATGTAATAAAAATTAGTGAGGAAGTAAAGTAGTTAAGACTATTTTGTAAAATTTTGGATACCTAACTTGTTAATGCTGCCTGAACTTGAGATTCTTTACTTGTATTTAGGCATTTCTCACAAACGTAAGACCTTATCAACTACTTCACTTTACCCTCATTATTAAACCACCAAATCCTTCAGCATTACTACCAAAGTAAATGTAAAGAAATTAAATGTATTAAACGAAATTTAATAACTTAATATGAAATTATTTCTCACTTTTCCCATTACTGTTCATACAACAACAAACAATTTCTCCCTGTTACAACAAATAGTTCCATTTTTTATTGGTAAAAATGTTGCAATAATTTTTACAAACTTTATTTACAAAGTAACTTCCATCACATTATGTATTAATTAAATCAGTGAAATTCTTGCAATATCTTGGCACCTACTATTAATACATGTTGAGAGTAAATTCTTTACCAATGTTATTGTAATAGAAATATATGTAATTATCCATAAAAATAGTCCAAATAAGGCCAACAGACAAAGAGTTATTGTATGGATAATTACATTTAAAGTTTGAATCAATTAACGAGCAGTAGGAGTAGATACAGGTTATAACTTGATTATAATTGTAAGTTTATTCATTTTTAGGTCATTTTGAACAGTACTACCTCATGAGCTAAAGAAAGAGCACAAAAAGATTAAAATGCGTTGTAATAACCAGAAACTGAGGTGTCAAGAAATTGTAACTTCACAAATTACATCTATAAACCTGATGAATTTGGACAACATTGGCGTTGTACTACTTCATGTGGTTATAAAAACTTACAACCTTCAAATATTCTGAGGACTGAAATAATAATTGACATTTTCAACTAATCAGAGCCTGCACAACAAATTCAAAATAAAGAATAATGGAATGCAGAAAAACTTGAGCAAAAGTAGCTTTGGAAAATGTATGATGAAAAAAAACATGAGTTCAGATTAAATTGCAATTAAATTAATCTTTGAAAAAAACCTTGTTAACAGAAAAATGAGGACAAAACATGACATGAAGACAAAAAACTGGAATGTCGACAATTACTACGCACGAAATAAGTAATACTATGACCACGAGAAACAAATCAAAATGAATATTCAACTACTGCTAGTCTGATTTCTGGAAGCAAAAAGATTCCGAAATTTAGAAGAACAAAAATGAGACCTGGAAGACTGAAACACAATCTCCCTCATCATCATCACTAATGAATAAATATACCTTGAAAAATCAAGCACTGAAAGTATCTTAGTACTTTATTACAATATCTATTATGATATTATGAGAGCAACTATGCTTACACAGTCAGCCTTAAAATAGCGAGAAAAACATGAAAAAATTAGCTAAAACTTATTCATTTGTTCATTTTGACTATTTTCCATGAGAATAATTAAAATATGTCATTATCTGACTTCTAAGATGTTACAAGCAATCTTATGCAGTTTTTAATTCACATATCAGACAAAAACTACAAATTTGCTCGGAATGGACAAAAGTCATCTTTCCCTTATACATCGACATCAATATAAATGTATAATAAGAACAACTGCTGCAAAACAAAATAAATTAAAAAAATCGAATCACGAGTTATTCAAAAATTTTGACACTGATTATCAGAATATCAGTCAAATGTAAACAGAGTCACAAATCCACTGACTCTAAATATACCCTATTCTTAAGGAAATTAGTTCAAAAATGTTTTTGAAACTTATATCCTTCTAAATTAGGACTTTAGAATGTTTAGCACTAAGTCCTAGCTAAATATATTTTTTCTAAATAATATCTTATTTGCTGTGACTAGCTGAGAAACTTTTGATAGAATGAACTGAAACAAAAGCTTCATTTAAAACTATTAAAATATCCATATACTTCTTACTTCATCTCAAAAATTTTATGGTTATTTCTGAAACAGACCAAAAGTAAAGTTTCTAATAAATCACAAGGAACGCATATAACTGAAAACAAATCTATTTAGCATCATCATCGTCTTCATCACTATCAGTACTAGAACCACTTTTTTTGTAATCATTTGATTCATCTCTATTGTCGTCATCTCCATCTTCATCTTCATCATTGTTATCAGCATTACTCTTGTAGCCTTCTGATGCAGACTCTTCTGCCATATTCTCTTCCTCACTAGTAACAGAATCATGTTTCTTATCTAAAGATTCCTTTCAGTAAAAATTACTGATTATTCAAACACAAAATAGCATGCAATATGAACGATATTCTTTTTAAGATCAGTTTTAAATATAAAATTTTCACACAATTAACATAAACAGCACAAAATACAATATTCTAAAATAAAACTACCATTTGAGGTCTCATTTTTATTATTAACTTCATCGTCATCGTCATCGTCATGTGCTTTTTTCCTTTTCACTTTTTCTTCTCCTTCTTTATTTTCTATATGGCCTTCTTCACTTCCTTCACTTGACTCCTGCTCTGAATCTTCAACAACAGACCAAGTTCAATAACTGCGGATTAATTGCAAAAGCTTAAAACTGTTATATATATATATATAACAGTTTTAAGCTTTTGCAATTTATATATATATATATATAACACTTAAATGCAAATATTTACTCATTCATAATGCAGCTAGTTAGTCTGTCAATCATCAGTTCACCATAAGCATGCAAAGCTTACGATACGAAGCACTAATGCAAACAGAAAAAGACTCAATCTATCTACATGAACTGAATTCTCTTAAACAAATCGAAATTTGTGAATTCATTGATTGAAAGACCTGCTTAATCCATTATCAATTTTCTCTTACATCTGCATTACGCTATAAGAAAGACAATAACGGAATTTTTAACTGAAATGCATGAATAAACAAAAGTACAGAGAGCGCTCACTAAGAAAAGGGCACAACCAAGCAAATAACAATAATACTAACTTAACTGTACTGATAAACAAAATAAGCTAGAACTTCACACGTAACGCAGGGACTATTTCAATTTCGTCTACAATAACTCTCGATCTAAAATACTCTATAACCTTCTCAGCTAAAACTCGAAATACAAAAAATAAAAAAGCTAATAAAATTGAAAAATCCTGCAGTCCACATCGTAAATTATCTGAATCTAGCCCGTTTTTCCCTATGCTCTATTAGCATTTTTAGACAACAAATGCTTGCAGTAGAAAGCAATATAATGTTACTTTAATAGTTTCCATATATTATAGCACAGTCCTACGTAAAACTGTTCTCTTAAACTTATCCAGGTTTATAGGTTCAGTAATTGAATAAGTTTTTGCAATATCTCATATAACTTGAAGAACTTTCGTTGCATTGCATCAAAATATTCACACAATTAAAAACAAGAGAAAATTTAATAAATAACTAAACGGTAGTTTTGTTTTGTTCTCATGACAAAAAAGCAATGGTTGTGTGAATAGTTTCATTTTATCATCAATATCATTTTCTACCAAATAATTTGAAGCTTTTTTCTAATACGATTAATACTGCTTTATTACATAATGTGAGACTTTTTCACATTTTCAAGCTGTGTGAAAAGTGTCAGTGATAAGTATCAACTTCATTTTACAAAAGATTGCTGGATTTTTTTAAAATCTACGTTTATATGTAAACATCTTCATGTTCAAAATGAGCACTGAAAAATAAGATTATACAATTTGATTCGGTTTGATTACAATACTAAATTTTTGGTTCAATGATGGAAAGTTCTCAAAAATTAAAAGGACAGGTAGTACAATATGCAAAGAATATACAACCACAGTAATCAGCAAATATTAGATGATGTAAGAGTAAAATAAATCCTAATAAAACAAAATGAAAAATACTATTTAAAAATAAATAAACAAAAAACTTGCCTTCTTCATCTCTTTCATCGTATGGATGCAACAAGTTATTTAGTCTTTCTTGCTATAACCAAATCATGAATCAAGAACAATCCTAGCTAACGATATTAGAAGATTATTCGCAAAATTAATTAGCAAATGATGAAAACTGATAAATTTTAACATTAATAGATAAATCCTAAAAATTTCCAGAGTTATTCGACGACCCTCTCAGTAAATTCAATTTCCTTTTTAAAAAAAGACAGCATGCACTCACTTTTAAATACCTGCCACACATGAAAACTATTCTTTAATGAAACCTCGATATTTTTTCTTGAAAACAATCACTAACAAAATTAAGAAAGATTTTGAAACCGATTATATGAGAAGCAAAATAAGCAAACCGATTATATGAGAAGCAAAATAATGAGAAGTAAAAAAATTACTTGTGCGGATAATTCATTCTCATCATAGGCCCGATTTCTTACCATTAATTTTGTTTCTTGCTGAAATTTGGAGACCAAAAAAATGATGAAAAATATTTGATTTTTTTAACTAACTACTCATAACTGTGCAATGATAAACTTCATCATTTTACAGTAGTAAATATTCTTCTTTACTATGAAAGACATTCTCTACTTTTTATATCCTTTTTCAAAGATTTAGCATACTCGCATTGAATTTTTAAGCGAGCATATGAAGAGAGATTTACAATAATACGTTCCATAGTCTTACATTACTTTTCTCTTCTCGTGCTAAATGAGATCCTCCGTAACTTGACAAAACGTAATTTTTTGAGTTCTTTAATAGTAGCACTCTTTTTAACATATTGCACTGAATTTTTTAGTACTTCTAGTAATTGATGTCCTTACATTTTCTCGAAAAGAGATGAAGTTTCTATTTCAAACTAATCAAGAACCCAAACTGCACCCTTATTCGTTTCGTTTTTCGTCGATTTAGTGAAACCTTTGTTTCAAGTTCATTGTAATGAACAGCACCATCACGAATAGTAAATAAAAAGTTGTCTTGTTCATATCCTTTTGTTGATTTATTTCTCACTAGCCAATTGTAATCTCGAACTGACTGATATTCATATCTAAAAAGTAATACTAGGCAGAAAAAAAACATAATATCCTGACTCAAATCATGATCATATGTGTTCCATTTTAATGAGTAATGACCACATTTATTTTACAAAAAAGTTACAGCTTACACATAGTCCGGGTCAAATTCGATGCCTTCTTCTGTATCTTTCATACGTTTGCTTAAAGTTTCTTTAGATGGCAAAAAATAAGTAACAAACTGTTCACCTTCTTCATCCATCATACCACTGAAAAAAGGCATAATTTGCATCACAATAATTCCAAAACTAGTAACATTAATTACGCACTGTTAATGAAACCATAAGCGACCATTTAAAAAAATCATATTCCTTTACTTGTTCTGTCTTTTCATATAATAATCTATAAGTGATAACTAGGTACTTTTTACAATACCGAGCAAATTTACAGAGCTGTATGAAAACATGATACTTGACAGATTTGCTCTGAGGTTTTAATACATGTATCTCACCGTTCTCTGAATCTTAATTCAAATCTCAAGTGAGCTGTATTGGGACATTCATAACACATGCAATGACTAAACTAATCATAAATTCATAAAGTTATAGTTATTATAATTCATATAGAAAAATGACGGAATATTTTTTTTTACAGCTCATTTTACAAATTTTTGAGAATTACAACTCAAGGATTTGAAGATGTGAAAAATTACCGAATTAGAGCCTGAGGCATCAATGTATGCGCATCAGCCTTTTCATTTTGAGGAATTGGGTCACCATCAAAAACAACCAATGCAAAAGGATGCATCCAGTTCTGTAGGAAGAATTTTTTATATTCCATATTATTCTACTTACATAGAAACTTATAACAAAAAAGATGCAGCTGAAAATGATTTATTACAAAAAAATTAATTGCATAGTTTTAGATATGAATTTCACACAAATATTGTGATTTTTAGCAACTCTCAGTGATTCATCTACAGTCAGCAACGAAAAAATCGCAGCTTAATATACACATAAAACTTACATCGAAATCTGGCAACAATGGTAATTCTTCCACAACAGTTACTCCTTTTTTTGTAGGATGATGTGACACTGGTTTAGAAGCCTGAAAATAATTCTAAGTATTTTTTTGGGGGGGAAAATGATATGATGTAATTATAAAATCACTTACAACCAATAACATTTACTTTAGAATACTTAAGTACTCGCTTTTTGTAAAAAAATTAAACATAATTACATCATCGAAGGTTTTGTTGATAGCAGCAATCTGCGAAGCTCGATCTCTGTATAATACATCTGTTTGGAATTTCTTCTTTGTACTGTACCCAACCTGAAAATAGACTCAAACTTAATGGCAATCAGTTCTTGCATAAATTATATCGAAAAAATTTGCTTATAAAATAAAGTTTAGAAACCCAACGATTCTAATACAACAAGCAGAAGAATAAAATAAATATGACTTCAAAAAAATAAAAAATAATTACATTTTGTGCATGGCGATATGAAAGTTTTCAGACTGATAACAAACAGCATTAAAGTGAAAAAATTTAGTTTACTATAAAGAAAAATGATAAAGATGCATGTCGAAACCAAAGAAAGCAAACTAACTCACTCTAGTTTCCTGCCTTTCAGCTGATATACCAAACCTTGTGAATTCTGAACTGATGTATTCAGTTTTTCTCATCCACGGCACCATTTTACTGTGTTGCAAGGACCTTAACAAGGTTCAAAATCTTTCGCGGTTAATTAATAAATACAATTATATTTGAATTAAAAGCAAACCTGCGTATACTTTGAGGATTTGCCTGTTCATCTTCAAGAAGTTCGAGATCAATAGGATGATGCTGAAATCAAAAACATTTCAGACTTAATGCATTGAAAATATCTTATTGAAAACTTTATATATTCAATGAAAAATCTCGATCTATATATTACTTCAAAAGCTAGATCTAAACAAGTATGATAGGACTGCATTTCTTAGCAGTATTGTAACTGAAATCGTCTTACAATGATTTAAGAAAATTATTTAAACTCTTTTTGCAGTAATGATGGAAAAAAAATCATTATTGAGTAAGATTTATAGAAATGTCTACCCTTTTTGGAGCGACTGGATCAACATAATACGTTTCAGGATTAATTAGGTCAATACTAACACCACAATCTGGTTCACAGAGTAATTCAAATTTAAAATTTTTTTCCAAACTCGATGACTTGTAATCAGTAAACCTGAAAACGAGGAAGCAACGAACTTTCTGATGATGAAACTAAAAGTGTTGTGGACTTATTTTTCTCGTCGACATGATCAGGAATGCACATAACGAATACCGATGACGTTCATTCGGTAACTCGATTTAATGCGACTCTTATTCTTAAAGTATCGAGTTGAGCGTAATAGATGAAAAACTCTAGATATGCAATATCATAAGCAAATACAAGTATTTTAAAGGACACAACCTTATTACAAAAATAAAGTGAAGACGTTTAGTTTCTGCAGATTCAACAAAATTCGTTTAACTAACCGACTCAAAGAAACAAACGGGCACGACAAGAACTTCGTGTCAAACGGTATATCAGGCAAACCATTACTGTACTTCACACGACAAATAAAGTCAGTTTTCCTGCAAATATTTTATTGAATAAGACAATTACAAAAAGACCTTTCTTACATATTAAATTTCTTATTCAGCAAAATTTCACTACACAATTATTTCACTTCTGTGGTTACAATAAAAATAAATTTCAAACTCCATCATGCAGAGAGAAAATTGACATTGGAATAACATACATCGGACGTTCTTCACGTCCATTTGGAAAATGACGTCGTTCACTCGTTGAAGATCCGGATGTGTCCATATTTGATATCTAAATTTATACGAATCTAGCTCATAATAATTTGAAGAAAGAAATTTCTTCCTTCAAGTATTACAAACTAATGTCAGAGGTCATCAGTTAATAAAATGATAATCTACCTTTATAACATTCTTTAATCCCTATTTCATGCAATTTAGATAAAATATTCAATGAACTCAGGATTTTTATAATGTGAAGTTTTAATTAATCTTTATTCTAAAAGGGAAAAACTCACGAAGTTGCAGAAAAGTCATATCTCTTCAATTTTTTTTGGAAATCTTATTTTAACGCCAAAGTCATCAATACCCCTTTAAAAGTGTACGCTATCCTGACGTTACTTCAATTTAATACTTAAATGAAATCAAAAAAACTCATAACAACAGAAATATCAGAATTTGTGGAAATTGATCCTGAGTAATGGAAGCAATTGAGACATTGCATTGCATCATGGCACATGCGTGCGTGCTGCTGATAAAATGCGTAGTTTGTCTATTTACGCGGGTTCTCGTGTCTGTGTGTTGTGGCTAAGAGTGACCTTTTTGTTTCATATTGTTGTGTGATGTGAGGTCTTGTACCTGTGACTTTAAGATTGTGTTTTTAAGAAGTTTTATGTTCACCTCACAGACATTATACTACATGGTAGTAAGTACAGTTTGGCATATAACAAATGTGCTATAGGTAAAGTGTAATTGTAATGTTTTGTAAATTTAAAAAAGTGAAAATGGCTTAGGATTACTACTTTCTGCATATAAATTGCCTTAATGCTCTCTGTTAACTTGATATGAATGGCGTTAATTCCTTTATGAGTACTGCTCATTTTATCACAAGTTATTTTTCTCTGGTAGGTCAGGTATTTGCATAAGCATATTTAAGTCGTTTTTATCAATACCTGAATGTATTTATACAATGAGAATTATCGTGTTTTAGGTAACTGTATAGAATTTCTGTACATTTTCTTAATGTTGCATAAGAGGAATCTGGCAAATGTATTACTGTTGACCTTCTTTAAGAGTATTGATCGTAGAAATAACATTTGAATGAAATCAAAGAAATAAGGAAATATCACTTTTCCTAAAAATTCGACTTGCAGTAAACGTCGTTGAGTGATTTTTTTTTCTGTATAGTGAGGACATTATTGATTTTTTGTTAGTATTTGAGATGGCTCAGCAGGTAAGACATTCGTGTGAAGAACACATGATCTCAGGTGAGTGAGCAGAAGAAAAGATACAGCAGGTACTAATTGAAGGAGATTATATTTTGTTTTGTTGCATTCGTTTAAGGTAGAACAAAAGTGTACTGCTTATTATTTGATTTTAGGCTTCTTAAGATTTGGTTGTGTTCATTACTTAACTGTATATTTGCTAGTTCTTTGATTGAAATCAATTCTCTACATCGTTAATGTGAACATTGTCAATTAATTTGTGAGATTAGCTTGAACTTAACTTTCTATTGAAGATTTGTTATAAATTTATCATTTTATTTGCAAGTTGTGATTAAGTTATTGTCAAGCTATTTGATCAATACAATTGATGAAGTGTAAGATATAGGAGTTCATTTGAATTAATAAAAGAAAATAGAAGTAAACAGATTAAATGATTATTGAAATAGTGTTAGTTACATTTAGCAGCAGTTTTTAACTTCTGCTTTCTCTTTCAATGCTGCATACCTCACAGACTATTCATATCTTGAAATTCCTCATCTTCAGACTTGCAACCGATGCTTCTGAAGATGAACTTGTTGAGTGCTGTCAAGTTTGCTTGTGCTTGTATGAAACAACTAACAGCTGCTTCAGCTCGTTAATTGTTTATTTCTAGCTTTATTCGAACTTGCTTACCGTGATCCACTTATTTTGTCTACTTTCTATTCGAAAAAATCGATAATTTTTAAATACTGAAAAGTCTTAAGTTTTACTTAATCAAATTTTTTTCTTTTCTTAGCAGAGTTTTTTAATTTTTTTAATCTATCATTAGGTATACTATTTCATGCTCATCAGCGCCAGTAAAGCAATCAAATTTCAGTTTTTCTGAATATGATAACTTTTGGTTACTTTTCTGGAAATACCTCTATCAAAGAAAATGTTAAACTTTGAAGAGGCTCAAGAATTAATTTTTCCAAGATTGAAGAGTTAAATTTTTCACGTGTACAAACGTCCAGTTTTTATCATGAGGACTAAAGTTTGACTTACTTTTTATGAATATTCGTTAGAATATATCGAAAGTGTTCACTCAAGTAATTCTCTCCGTTTTCATGTATTAAGAATAGTGAAAATTATTTTTTGGAGAAGGTATTTTGTGAGTTAGAATATGAGATTAAGTCCGTATTTTCTGCTCTTAGGTTTTGACCTATTATTTTGCAAAACAACTGGTTTCCCTGTATGGTATACCAACTGCTGTGTTTGCTTTAGGTTTAGGTTTGCATTATGTTGCGTATAACGGTAATTCACTCCTTTCTAAGTCAATTATTCAAAAGGCAATATTTAAGGTTTGACCAGGTTTTGTGCCATTTTTGGCTCGCGACAAATGGATCCAGTTCGAGATGGCTTGAATATCCCAAAATGGTTCTATCAAGGAGAAGATCATCGTGTTTATGGTACTGGATTTTTGTTGCATTGTAAACATATATTTTAAAGCAAAACTGATGGTCATGCTTTTAAATTTTTCTTTATTGTTTTTAGGCCCTTACTCATCGGCGGAAATGCAAAAATGGTATAAAACGGGATACTTTGTTAGCTCGATGCTTCTGCGTACGAAGAATGATGATCGTTTCCATACTCTTGCAGAATGGTCACGTTATAGTAGCGGACAAGTTATTATTTGAAATTCATTCTTAATTTTCAACTTTGCAATTAAACATGTTAATCCTTATCGGTTCCAGAAGCTTTCCAAATCATGCACAATGAATTCAAAGAACTTTTAAGTTATTTCTATATTTTATATTCGTTAGCCGTGCATTAATGAAGATGAGAAATATGCTTTGCTAAGTTGCAATAATTTTTCTGTTAGCAACAAAGAAGATTTCTCAGTCTCTGTTCCAGTTCGGTTTTCAATTCTAATAGGCATTATCGTCGAGGACAGTTCCAAATTTTATAAACATTAATTAATCTATGGCAAATGGACAAGTTATTTTTGTAGCCTATCGTCATTAAAAGTAGTAATTTATTTTTCTCTTTGTGATGGAAAGAACATTGGATTGGTCTATGTTGTCTTGATTTGAGAGAAAGGGTGTTTGAAGAAGTTGATATTGTTCTTAAAATAATTTTTCTTTTTCGTCAGATATAAATTATTTCATTCAATAGAAATAATTTTCAGAGTCCATTCCTAATCTTTGTCAATTCATTCGATCAGCTCGTCAACTTTAGCTTGCAAGCACAAATGTCTCGCCTAATTATTACTCCTACCCGAGTTCCTGCCACTAATGGCCCGTATTTTGTGGTACCCCAGACTGCACCTGCATCAACTCCTACTCCTGTTCATGGTTTTGCGCCAGCACCAGGTTTCTTAACTTACCAACAAAATTCTTTAATGATCGCACCACAAATACCGTCATTTGGTCCTCTTCCTGGTCTTTCTCAACCTCCTAGTGAACCGCTCGATGAATTACCTTCTACCATTAGTAACACGCCAGATGATAGCGATACGAATTGGAATATTGGATTGGTGCAAAATGTGGTTGGTTTCTATGTTAGATTAAATTTGTGATTTTTGGCGACATTTCTCAAAATGTGATTCATTCTTTGAAGCCCATCAAATCTATAAAAATTGCTATTGACATTGTTTGATTCAGGTTCCCTTGCCATTTCAAGAGAAATCAACTGATACATACGATGCATCATGGAATCTGGCTCGGGACATTGGAACAGATCCGGAATATGCGAAGTACCGTGATGTGTCAACGCAAACCAATCCGGGAAGGGTACGTTTTTTCCACGCAAACCAGTCCGGGAAGGGTACGTACGCATTTTCAGATTATGCGTAATATTTTTAATTTTTTTCTTCTAATTAAATATCTGTGTTTTTTTGAGACATGTGAATTTGAGTAGTCAGGTTAGTAATTTTTTATTGCAGCTTTTTTTTGCAGTACTTGATGTGCCATTGAACTATTAAGCAGAATGTTTTTAATCATTTAATAGAATTGTGCCTCTCGTAATATTTTTTCCATTACAGCATTTTTCGTTTTCAGATTTCAGCTGAGCAAGCCGTGCGACTGCTTTCGGAAATAATAGGGATTCAGCTTGAAATTGAAGGTTGATCAATCAATTCCAGATCACTCGTGGTTCTTGAGGGAACTATTCTCTATTGTTTTCGTATCATTTGTCTCAGTGGTTTTCGGTATTTTTAACAAGTTTAAAATTTACATTTCGTTTGTTGCTTAGTGGGATTATTGTGAGCGGTTCTGTTTTTAAATGGTATTGTTTCTAGTTTTTGCTCTATCTAAATCAAAAGCATAAATGGCATGGTTAGAAGGTTTTGAACTTTTTCAATGATACCAAATTGATTAGTTACCACTGGATACTTCAGCTTATGCTCACTTTTCAATCAATTCCTTTTCATCACTGTTCCGTTTCGAAATCTCAGTTTGTACTGTTGGGAACTTCTTCAATGGTAAATGTATGTGTAGGTGTTATTAAGATCGCAGAAATAGATACTATTTTTAAAGGTTGGCAAAAAACCTATGTGTAGGTAGTTACGAAAATCTAAATCAAATTATAGGTGAATGAAGTTCTCACAATCATTTTGCATGATTCCCTCAAATTTATAACTTTTACAGAATATGAAATTCGTTTAATTGCTTGTTTTCAATGAAATTTGTACATCTTTAAAAAATTACATTTAGTTTCTCTGCATTTAAGTTTGTTTTTTATAATTTGCCGCTTACAAAACATTTACCAAACATGCCTTCATTCATCAAGTATTCAAAATGTTATTAATCCAGTTCTTATCTACACATTATTTATTTACCGTTCGTAAATATTCTTATTCTGAAATAGAAGATTTATTTGTTTGCTTGTTGTAAATGAAAACAATTACGACCAAAAACAGCATCGAGTTATCTCACTCTACCATCATATATTATTTAGTTTACCTTTTGAAATATAAATATATAAAAAGAGAGGTCATTTGCTCGCGGAAAAGTGAAATTTATGAGTGGGTGTCTCGGAGTTTCTGGCATTTACGTTTTCGAAGATTGCAGGATTGCTCGATTGCGCTTTGTTTATTTTTGTTTTGTTGTAAATCTTTTTTCACCCTCTATTATTTTTTGATATTCGCTTAAGTTTTCCAGGTTTTTCTATAGTTTAATATACAGATAACATTAGTTCTATTGCTGAACATATAAATTTTAAGAGTAAAACCGATTGAAGGCAGTGCCTGATGGCTATGAGCTGCAGCAAATGTAAGCGTTACCAGAATCATAATCATGGTATTCATTATACCATGGTCATTTTCTTTACTAGGCTTCTGGAAGAAGATTAAGCTGAAACTGAAGAAAATCGAAAGGTACATGTTCTCTGCTCATGTTGTACTCGCTCATTTATCATTGTTTTTCATAGCTCGTCTCGGGTTGACATGGTTTGTTTGCTTTTTAATTCTAAGTTCTACATTTATTACCATTCTTAGAATTCCTCATATTTGCGTTTAGAATAAATCAGTTTGATTTCAGCTGTTGACTCATTAGTTGTTTTTGTTGTCAATCTCATTTCATTTATTCTTTTAGTTCTTTGAATGTGTTTAATCGTGATAAAATTATTACTGTATGATTATGTAAATGAAGAACTGGTAATATATGGTGGAAATCTTGATAACATTTAATTATTTTTGTTTATCAAAATATTGTATCTTTCTTTCCATGCCATTCTATGCCTATTTTCTTGTTTACACCTTTCTGGTGTTAAAATATTAAAAATACAGCTACTATGATATTTTATAATGAATGCGTTATAAGTAATAGTGATAGTAGTGAAAGACTCGCCTCCTCATGTCGATTGTGTTTTACAAATTGTTTTAATATTATTGTCTAATTGAAAAATAAATATGATCTATTATTGTGCTTTCGTGGACAAGCCATTTGGCTGTATATTTGTGTACATAGTAGCTGTTCACAATATTTCAAAAACGCGACACCTAAAGATTGCAGTTAAAGTATTAAATTTTTCAAAATGAGGCTTAAGATCTTGTAGAGTTCAGTTGTCATGTCCGTCATGACCTATAGTTGTGGTGTGTTTTAACTATATACAGTGGCTTTAGCATGTCTTAAAATTGGAATTGAATTGAAGAATAGTCTGTAGCGATTGAAGTAGAAAAAGTATTGAATTTCGTGATGTCGCTGAAATATGAAACTCCGCACGTCACTCATTCATTATTGGATAATAATGTTTATTTGTAATTAATGCTTTATATCTTGCTAACGTTATGTGGTGGCAGACTGCTGGTAATGTGTATCCGACGTAAGCATTGTGTTTATCCTAGAGACTGCTAAATATTTGAAGAGTAATTCAATAATTACAATTTGTTTATGACTTAAGGTGTGTAGATGGGAAAAAAGTTGAAACAGATTATTGCTATTATTACTTCGTAGTTATTTAAAATTAGCATAAAGAGACATCTCTATTCTACGAATTGATGAAGTCGTTCATCAATTTGTGAGATCTCTGCTGCATTGTCAATTATTTTCTGAATTTATTATTTTGAAAAATTTGGTTGAATAACTATTTTTTGTAATCTTTTTGGGTCAGTGGTTATATCTTAGAATCATTTATTTTAAGAAGATAAATTATGCATTACTTAATATTTTATATGAAAGATTTTCAAAGTATGTATACTTTCGTTAAAATAATGACCTGAACTGAAGATGACCCGAGAAGTAAATTACTTGTTATAATCTGTTGTTAATGAATTTATTTCCTCGAGCACGAAAAGTGTTTGAGATAGATATCCACTTGTAAACATTAAATAATTTATTAAAATAGCAAAATCAGTTGCTGATTCTAGGGAATCTGTGATGAGTACAATCTGTATTCTAATGGCTAATCTTAAAAGAAAGTTTTAGTTGAAAACTTGAAAATTTTTGAAATAAAAGAAAAGATGAATATTGGCATTTTTGAAGACGTATGCAAAAATTAGTTATCCAAATCTACAAGCAAACTATTTTACTAATTACTGTATTTGCATATAAACAAAGCTAAGAAAACGTGAAAATTATTGTTGATCTCTTCACATGATTTACTCTCTTACTCGGTAATTGCTTCCCTAAGTAAAGTTTGTGAAGGTAAACTACGAATTTACGACATGGAAATAATCAGTAATTAATGACAAAAGAAAAAGGTTTCAGAATCAAATCTGGTTTCAAAATTCTTATATATTTTAGACGAGAATTTAGAATAACACTAGTAATTATGGTTTGCTTATAACACTAATAACAATAATAGTAATAATTAATAATTAGTAATAATAGCAATAACAATATTTAATAATATATGGCATTTGTTTCTATTTTTGACCTACTTCATTTTCAAGACATCGCCAAATTAAATTCATTTCAATTTTGATCGACATTCTTTCAATTTTAGTCATTATAAGTTTTTAAGTTTTCTTTTTTATCTTAGTAAGTGTGAATAAAGTTTTATTCAAGAAATAAAAGGTCAAAATTCAAATTAAAACCTTAGCTTGTGCAAATTTCTCGCCTACAATTAATATTTGTTGCTCACTTTTGTTGCACATTCATATTCAAATTACATAAAATAAATCTTAACACATTAAACGCATTTATTTTTATGATCGAAATTTGATACTAACTTATGTCAGCTTTAGTTTATCTTATATTCAACTTTTGGTCTGACTTCTGTGCAGTCTTTGGGTTTAATAACATTTACTTTACTTTAACAACTGTTATTTGCTTACAAATTAGATGATTGTTTTTTGCAGTAAACAATTTTCAACGAAAAATGTAATTTTTATTAAGTAAGCATAACAACTTGTGATAGATTAATTTCAATAATTATTCTCTTACTAATTATTAATTTTGATTTCTTATTTTTAAATCTATTATTCATTTCTAGCTAATTTTTGTAGTAAGCCATCTATCTGTTTTACTGTATGTGAACAATATGAGTATAGTTAATAATGTTTAATTTGGTAAAGCATTATTTTTACTATTGAAACAATAGTTATCAAAATATTATAATTAGTCTATCATTTTGATATAATTTGTGAATATTAATTAATATAAAAAAGAAATTAATAATTTTTTAAGCAAATATTTTTTATGGCTATTTTTTTAAGTTTAAATTTTTTGTAAAAAAAAAAGTTTTTGAAATTATCCCTAACGTTTTCTCCTGAACAGCAATTTGCAGGACTAAATCTGCATCTTGTTGCCTACGTCAGACTGCTTCACAATCGCTTACATTTATACCTTTCAATTTATCTTTAAAACAAGAGCAGTCCTTAATTTTCAACATCCATACAAGATTCTAAAGTATTATATTACTTTTAAATAATTTATTATTTAAACAATTTTGCTTATTTGTTAGATATTTAAAAATCTTTTTAAAAATGTTTGTTGTAAAATTCAATTTTGCTTTGTTTGTTACTTATTTTTGCTTATTTCTGCATTACTTTTCCAATTTATGACGTTATAATTTTTAGTTGCATTTTAAAAATTATGAATTTATAACAACAATTTTTATTATAAATAAAGTTTAGCTTGTACTCACTCTTCTCCTTTTACTTTTTCATTACTTATGAATTTTATATTTAATATTAAGTATTTATGCAAAAATAAATGCAATTTAATCGTATTTTCAAAAATTTTTACCAAATGCAATTTGCAAAATTCTTCTGGAACCTAAATATTTTAAATTAGTCAGTAGTATAGTTACTTGAAGATGACAGAATTTAGAAGCTATGAAAATTAATCGAAAGTTATTCTTAGATAAAAGAGAAGAGTATAAGCTAAACGTTCTTATTAAACGTTGCTATAATTAAAAGCTCTTAATAATAAAAAGTTAGTCTTACATTCTTAGGTGTTAACAAAAGCCTGTAATGATAGACATGACACATTAGATATATTGCTTGCTTGTTTTAGCTAAGTGACATACTTTCATGATTACAATAGGTCAAGAAAAGCCATTACTAAATTGCTTCTTGATTAAATATAATATATTAACGTTTATCCACAAATACGCTGAAGCTCTTTTATTTTTGAAGTAATTCTTAAATTACGCAAAAAAATTACTTGCAGTTTAGTAATTTAAA